GGGATCCGAACCCTCGGACGGGAGCGCCGCCGCGCTTCCCAAGCGGCGCACTATCCAGTGCGCCACCGGGCCGGCCCTTAATTTTCTTTTCTTGCCTTGGAATAGAATCCAAAAACATCTTATTCTCCTATCCAATTAAGACTAGAAATCTGGACTCTTTTATGACGGGTTTATATCCCGGGGTGGGGGTGGGGGGGCGAAACTAGTGTGAAATCAAGTAGAAATACAAACACGCTATATGCAGAATCGCCTTATTTTTTCTTATTATTACTCATTGACTTCTATCCCCTCCTGCTTTCTTAGGAAGCCTAGATTATCAGTTATCCTCTTCTCCAATTTCACCCATTTCCTCTCACCTGAATCCTTCCACACATACTCAAGTCACAACCACCCACACAACCTTACAGATGCATTCTTGTCCACATATTGCCATCAGCTATCATCCCCCTTTTCCCCACTTTCCAGGCAAACTACTTAAAAGAGTTGCCTATACTCACTTTCTCCATTTCCTTACCTCTTACTCACACTTCAACTCACTCTAAACTAACTCTGCCCCCATCATTCTACAAAACTACTCTAAGATCAACAGTGAAGTCCATGTTGCTGAACCCCAGGGACATTTTTCAAGCTCTCAGCAACATAGGATTCTTCTGATCACTACCTTCCTGAAATACTCTCTTCCCTTAAATATTATATCAGCCTCCTGGTTTTCCTTGTTCAACAAATGTTTATTAAGCATCTACTCTGTGCTAAGCATGATTTCAGGCACTGGAAATATAGTGATAAACAAGAGACAAAAGACCTTGCTTTTGTAAAGCTTACATTTTACCTCTTATACCCTTCTTTCTGCTTTGCAGGCTCATCCTCTTCTGCTTGACCATTGCAAATATACACCTCATAAATATTTATCTCTATCTTATACTTCTCTCCAGAGCTTAGACCGGAATATCAATGTGCTTTTTCAGTGTACCTACTTGGAAGTCTTAGAGGAACCTGATACTGAACATGTCCAAGACTGAATTCATCATCTTTCCCTTCCAAACTTCTCAGTTAACTGGGACTACCATCCATCTAATCATGTAAGCCAAATACTTAGTATCTTCTTTATACCTTCTTTCTGCCCTCCCAACCCCTTGCCAAATCCTATTGAACATACATTCTTAGTATCCGTAAAATATGTCCATTTCTCCCCATTTGCACTGCCACTATTATAGTTCAAGCCACCATCATCTCTGGCCTATTACAAGTTTCTGAACTGATCTCTACACTGGAGGTATATTTCAAAATCTAAATTTGATCATGTTATCCAGCTGGCTAAAGCCTTTCAATGACTTTGCACTGCCTGCAAGGCCTGCTGGCCTCTGCCTTTCTCTCCTATCCTCATCAACATCACTCTACTCCTTCTCTGTACACTTCCAGCGTGCCTTTCAGGCTCTCAGACCTGCCCGGTGACTTTACACATGTGATTCCCGCTACATGGAATGCTCTTCCCCACCTCCTTTATTCACCTTCACCCACATTTATTCTAGTTCATTAGTACTCAGTGCATTTCCTCAGGAAACCTTTTTAGCAACTCCAGAACAAGGTCAGTGCCTTCTCATAAGATCTCAAAGACTCATGTACTTTTCCCTCAGAAAAAATATTACAGCTTTATTTGTATATTAACTAGTGTGATTATTTGATTAATGTTTATCTAAAGTTCCAAAACCAGGTACCTTGTATGTTTTTGTCCACCCATGTATCCCAAATACCTAGCACAATGCATGACATATGGTAAGTGCTCTGCAAAAATTTAGTGAATGATGGACAACCAGGCATGATGCTCTTGGAGATTAACTTCACTTTGCATATGTCTACAGAAAAGTCCATGCTAGTGCAATAAACACATTTACCCAATTTTTGTGGAAAAAAAGAACATTTTAATTAAATAATAAATGAGTCCTAATAGCTAGCATGTGATTAAGTGCTTTATTAACAAATCCCTATTTATCCAACAAATATGTACTGAGAATGTACTATGAGTCACAGACTGTGCTAGAAGCTATTCATACTGTGGTGGCAAAACATAGTCTCTGTCCTCATAAGCTTATAAAAATTATTTAATGTCCAACTAGGAGGTGACTTGAAAAGTGCACACACATGGACTAAATTAAGGTGTTATAGGAGATGCCTGGTCAAATTTCACTTTGTGGACCTAAAACTTGGTACTCACCATACATGTAATTTTTTTTCCCTTTCAAAGGAAAATGATGAAAATAACAACTTGAGACTATTAATTACTGTTCTAAGTGAATCATTCCAAGAAAAGATAAATTCTACATTACTCCAACAAATAGGTATTAATGCTCCCAAAGTTTCTGAGATAAACAGACCGAGTGCATCTCATCTCAGCCAGTCACTTCTGTCCCAAAAAGATTACAAAAAAAGGTAAAAAGCCCTCCCCACTTGAAGAAATCCCTGGCTGTAACTAAAAGTCTGTGTCCTCCCCTCTCAAACAAGTGGGGAATTCAGAATTGCTCACTTTTGAAACAATTCACATCATAAGCAGAAAGCTGAAACCGCACAAGCAGAGGGCTAAAGCCAGTATGAGTAACAGCTAAATGTTTTGGGTAGAGAATAAAGGGGCTGTGGAATAACCCTTTGATTGGTCTAAGTCTTTGATAATCCTAAACTTCCACCTCATTGCTTACTTTATTAGGCCTAGACTAAAGAATGGGTTACTCCTGATTGTAGCATGTCTAATACATAAAGTCTCCAAACATATTTACAGTGTTGAAGTAACAACAAATCTTAACCTGTACACTGTTGATTTATTTGAAGTCTCAGCTTAACTTATCTGAATATACCTAATTCTCAGTTATCCATGGTGATCATGACCCAGAGGAAAACAGGGCACCAAATTCACTGACTCTCTCAGAAATTGTTTTTTAAACTGTAGAATTATTTTTTAATTTGGGTTTTATATAAGTTTTTTCTAAGTGCTAATGCATAACCCTTCAGACTTAAACATTAGGCTTCAATAAGTACTTCAAAGCTCTAAAAAGTATTAGTAGCATAAACTATAAAGGCACACTATAAAAAGAACTGTCCACAAACATTCCTGGTATTAAACAGAAAAGCAACCTCATTCCTGGACAGAAATTCACAGGCAAATCTGTTTCCAAAGAACTGACTAAGGACCAATATAGTAAAGGTCATAGTTTCATAATGCTAATTAACTCTAATAATAAAGCATTTATTAAACATTTTCTACATATTAAGACACGCATTAGATGCTTTACTTGCAAAGCATGTAAAAAATTAAAGCATTTATTGAATATTTCCTATGTACTAGATGTGCTAAATGCTTTACTTGAAAAGAATGGAAAAAATTAAATACTTATCTCCACAACCACTACAACAAAGCTACTATTCACATCCATTTTCCAGATGAAGAAATTGAGGCAGAGAATGGTAAAAAAAACTTGCTCAAGGCCACAATATTTATAATGTCAAAGCTACTATTCACATCCATTTTCCAGATGAAGAAATTGAGGCAGAGAATGGTAAAAAAAAAAACTTGCTCAAGGCCACAATATTTATAATGTCCGTGCCAGGACTCAAACCTAGGTCCAAGCAACACCAAAGTCACTGCCTGGCACTAGCCCTCTCTCAGGGTTAATGCATAAATGGCCCCCCAAAAATCCTGGGAAGAGAGCAAAGAAACCTCACTAGCTAGAACTGTAGCTCTGAATATAAAAACGGAGCATAATATGAATGTAATCTGTAAGTTTCAAAAGGGGGACAGGAGCCTAGAAAAGAATAATTTTTCCTTATCGAATGATCTGGGCTGCCTGTCCCCTTGAGTCTTCAATGTTAGTTCCTTTCACCATTCTGCTCCCAAACAGGCCAGGTCACACATCAGTCACAGGAGGAAAGGGCTCTTTCACCCTGTGGGTCATCTCTGGGCAGCCTAGTAAGGGTAAGAAGGCGATCCTTTGAATACCTCCTTTGGACTCGCCGTCTTGATGTAAAGTATTCGCCGGCTCCATCTCCTCCTCGGATGCCCAAGAGCCTTCCTATGAAGATGTCCAGGCAAGTGATAGTAGGGACCTAGATGTCCTTGCTGGTAAAAGAAAAACGGCAACAAAGTCACATCTACTTTCATTCACACGAACGCAGACACGCCCCCGTCGGCTCCCGGATAACCCAAGTGTCACCGCTAGGACTCCCCTTCCCCGACCAGCCAGCCCGTTCCGGGTCCGAGCCAGCTGTGTCCACGCCCACCCCCTGCCCCCGGAGCGCTCCGAGGGCACGGCTCCTCTGAGCCATTGGGTGTCCCTATACACTGAAGAAACTTTAAGAGGCCGTTCAGCCCTCCACCTCTCCACCCTGGTCACAGTCCCTTCCGTCATCTTCCCTACTCTTGCTCACCCAGGCCAAGATTGAGAATTCCCGCCTGCTCGCCTTCAAAACCAATCCACTAGGTCCCAGAGTGCTTCGCGCTGCCGCCGTACAAAAACATGGCGGACCTCAAGGCCCCTCCCTGATCCCAGCATGCACCGGGGAGTAGGCCCAGCCGTTCGGGTGGTCAGGAAGATGGCGGCCTCTGGGGCGGAGCCGCAGATCCTGGTACAATACTTGGTGTTACGAAAAGATCTAGCGCAGGCACCGTTCTCCTGGCCGGCGGGCGCATTGGTAGCACAGGCTTGTCACGCAGCCACCGCTGCCTTGCACGTTCACCGCGACCACCCCCACACCACAGCGTACCTCCAGGAGCTGGGGCGCATGCGCAAAGTGGTCCTCGAGGTGAGGCGCCAGGGTGGAGAGGGAGGGACGCTGAGGCGTCCAGACCGGAAGTGGGTGTGGCCTGGGGGACCGAAGGGCCTAACTCCGTGAAGTGCGTGCGGCGTGAGTTAAGAGGAATCATTGTCTATTAGGTTTTGGAAAGGGTTCTGCGGCTTGAGGTGTTGTCCCGGGAGGGCCGGGTCAGGGCCGGACTGTGTGAAGAATGGAAGTCGGGTCTGTTATTAAGGGTTCTCGGCACACTTTCGGGCTCTCCGGGAACTGGGGTCTCCCCTTCCCTTAGTAGGTGCCTGTGTGGAAAGAGGCGGTTGGAGTGTGACCTGGCCGTTCCTCCTGTGCACTGTCAGACCTTTTAAAGCCGTGCCCAGAAATGCCGCTGCCCCGCAAAACCAACCTCGAGAGGATAAGGACACAGGGTTTCTTATTGCCGTGGGGGCAGCGCAGAGTGAAGCCAAACTGAAGCTTTTACCTGGGTATGACGCCAAATTATTATTTTAAAATAAATGTTAAAGATCCTATTGTAAATTGAACCTAGCATCAGAAAACCAGACACCAGCGTTATAAATAGGTATGCCTTTTAAAATCGTGGTAAGGTTCTTTTTGCAGATGGCCAAACATCTTGCCCTTACCCTTTGAATCTGTCGACTCTGCTGCTAGAAATGTATCCTAGGGAAATAATCAGATGCACCCAAGAGCTCAAGAATATTTATAGGAGCACTTTGTTTTGTTAACAAATGTGGAAATTATTAAATTTCCAATACTAGGGGTTGGCTAAATTAATCTATGCCTTTATAATGGGTTATGATGAAGCTAATATGTCATGTTTTTGAAGTATATTTAGTGGCAGGGAAGAGTGCTCATGATATGATGTTATATATACAGAATCGTCCAAATTTTGAAAGGAAAAACTAAGGAAATACATCTAAATATTAAGTAGTGGATGGTGGGATTTTGGTTATTTCCTATTGCTTCTTTATGTTTAAAGTTTTCTACATTAAGCACATTTTTTATAATGAGAAGAGAATTGCTTTAAAATAAATAAACTAGAACTCAGGTAGAGGGATGGGGTAATCCCTTCATGCATTACTGGCAAAGACTGATTATCTTTCAAGAGAAAAATTGCTGTTGGATAGTGAAACATCAAGCAGTAACCAGAAGGAAAGTGTCTTGAGAATTTATGAGTAGGCAGAAAAGCAGCAGATTAGCTTTTCACTTAGATTCTTTTTCTAGCGAGAGGGCCTCAAGAAATCATCAGGTTCAGACTCCCTGTTTCTCAGGTGAAACATCTGAAGCCCACCAGATTGAGTAACTCCATTGAGTTTAAAAAGACATCTGATGAGTCATAGTTATTAGCCATGACTCAAGAAAGGGACTTATGAGTCATTACTAATTAAACTGAGGTGCTTCTGTAGCCATAAAGGCCAATAAAATATAAGATAGTGTTAAGATTTACTCCATTTATTGAGTGCTTACTATGTGCCAGGCATAGGTCTGAGCCTAATTTCATTGAATCTTCACTACTACTAAGAAACATTATCATCCCTGTTTTACAAAGGGGAAAAAGATACCCAGCTAGGTCCCATAACTTATCCAAGATCACACAGTCAGAAAGGGTTTAGAATCCAGCAGTCTGACTCCAGAGACTCACTCTAACTGTGCTACCCTGCTGCCTAGTGCTATGAAGGGAGAGGAAATTGAGTCCTCAGGCAGGGGTCTGCCTGAAGTACTCAACAGATCAAGAGTGGCAATCTGGGCATTCTCTAAGTTGATAAGACAAGCCTCTGGTTGTCTTAATGGCTTCTGCCTTCATAGGCAAGAAGTATACATTATGCAAAATAACACTAGTTACAGGTTGACCATCCCTTATCCAAAATGCTTGGGACCAGAAGGGTTTCGTGTTTTGGATTTTTTTTTTTTATTTTGGAGTATTTGCATATACATAAGTTGGGCATCCCTTATCCAAAAATTCAAAATCCTAAATGCTACAGTGAGCATTTCCTTTGAGCATTTCCTTTGAGCATCACCTTTGAATGTCATGTTGGCACTCAAAAAGGTTCAGATTTTGGAGCTTTTGGGATTAGGGATGCTCAAAAATTATCTTTACTTTCAAAGTGATAGTTTTAATACTTCCTGTAATGGGATTCAGCCTGTGTGAATGAGTGGTAAGGATGACCCAGAAACAATTTCGGAAGGTTGTCAGAGAATAGTTTGCCATCCCTTGAGTAATCAAGTGGGAGCTATCCCAGCAGAAGGAAAACTCTTCTAGGTTTGAGTGAGGTAGGGTGGGAGGGGAGGAGGAGGGGGGTGGAGGTAGATGTGATTGTAGAAATCCTTCTGGTAGTCAGCTCTTAAAGTCAGAGCTGGCCGAAGGATTAGGGATAGCTGTTATGGGCACTTGCCATTTGAAAACTAAAAAATGTATAGAGCATAATTACTGAGAGTGCATACAACATCTCAAGAGGAAAGAGAAAAATCTCCATTTTATAAACAGGACTATTAAATCTCTCCCCTTCCCCCACCCCCAGGCTGAGAGTGAATGGCAAACTGAGGAATTAAACTGTTGCTTTACAGCTACTTCTTTGCTAAAGCTTTTCCTCCACTTTCAGTTAAGAGGAACTCAGCTACCTTCCCCCCATTTCTTTTTGGCCTTTTGACATTTCCTAAATGGGCTGTTAAACCTGTGTTCTGCTCCTTGTAGGCCCCAGATGAGACCACCCTAAAGGACCTGGCTGAGACCCTTCAACAAAAGAATATTGATCACGTGCTATGGCTTGAGCAGCCAGAGAATATCGCCACTTGCATTGCGCTCCGGCCATACCCTAAAGAAGAAGTGAATCTGTATTTGAAGAAGTTCCGATTGTTCAAATGACTGCTGCTTTGATGTATTCAATATCAGCTGAATCCAGAAACAGCATGCCATCCATCCCTAAGCATCATGTACTCCTTTCAGTGTCAACTTGCTCTTCCCTTTCAGTTATGACGGTTTCTTGAGGGTCAAACATATGGTCCTATTAAAGTTGTCAGTAGTAAGTATTTATTATTAATAAGTTCAAGTGGGCAAATTGGGCGAGCAGCAATTTTGTCTATGGGTCATTGCTCAAATAGATTTAGTTAGATTCTGGTATAGGGGTCAAAGGAAACTCCCTTTCTTTCTTAGTAGTAACAATGGAGTTCTAATAACCAGGTTTAAAACTTTGCCTTTGAATTCCCTTTTTCTCATTTACATCAAGTTATCATATTTCACTGAATCTAAGACAATATCAACTTTAAGATGCAGTAATATCCTAAGTATTAAGAAGAAACGATGCCAATTAAGACATGCAATTGACTAAGATGTATTTCAATATTAAAATTTAAAATATGTGTGTAAATATATATGTACCTACATACATATATATTTATTTGATTTGATGAAATTTGTCAAGTACTACAGCTATTTTCTTGTTACCTTCAGTGCTACCACCCTGCATCAGGCTCTCATTTTGCTCATGAGAGCATCCCACTGGTGTACCCTGGTTCCAGTCCAGGAGCACTCCCAGTGTACCCTGGTTCCAGTCCAGGAGATGCTCTACCACCAGGTTGATATAGATAGGATCACTGAACATCCTGTTCATTATAGGCTACTACTTGCCCATGGAATACTGCTAGAACTCCTTTAGGGCCTCCCCATTTATATTTGCTACCTATCTTTTTAGTTGAATCTTCTGTTCCCTTATCCAAACCTGATGTTTCAACAAAGTTGCTCTGGTTGCTGTCCTCCATTCTCTGGCCTTGAAGTTCAATGTTAGTATTCTTCCCCTCCTTTTCCTGTCTCTGGATTTTACTTAAACTATTTCCAGCTCAAGTGCTATCACTGTCACAAAGTCTTACCCAGCCAAAGATGGTAGTTCCTTTCTCTGAACATTTCTAACACTCTTAACACCGTTAAAAACTTTTTTTGGGGGTCGCCCGGGGGGCGCCCTGGTTAGAGTGGGGCGCTTGGGAGTNCAGCTCAAGTGCTACCACTGTCACAAAGTCTTACCCAGCCAAAGATGGTAGTTCCTTTCTCTGAACATTTCTAACACTCTGTACAACGTTTAAAACATTTCTATAGGGTCAGCCCGGTGGCGCACTCGGTAGAGTGCGGCGCTTGGGAGTACAGCGGCGTTCCCGCTGAGGGTTCGGATCCCATATAGAGACCGGTCCACTCACTGGTTGAGCACGAGGGTTGCGATCCCGTTGCCGGTCCCGGTATGGGCACGACACCGAGGGTTATGATCCCGTTACCGGTCATGAAAAAAGACAAAAAGGGAAAAAGAAAAGAAAAAACATTTCTATAGACATTTGGACACATCTATAGAAATTACTTGGAAATCTGTGAAGCAAAATTTATAAGGCCTAATTTGTTCAACACATATCTATCCGTTGCACTGTGGGAGGCTGTATTAACAGCTGAGGATATAAAGATGAATAAAATAATTTTTGCACTCAGGTACCTAAGAATCTAGTGGAAAGATAAATAATTAATACAGAGAGAAGTGCACAAGGTAATATGGGTATACTTCCCCCCACACACCCCTTACATACCATTTTACTAAGATATCAGATATTAAGATTTTCCTTTATAAGAGATGGTCACCTGAGTCTGGGAGGTGTATGAGGTCTCCCAGGGAGAACTGGTAGAGTGCCGAGGGCAGAGCCAGCCCCAGGAAGCCAAGTGAATAAAGAATTTCAAGGAGAAGAGAGCAATCAAGTGCAACACAGAATTTCAGCAAATAAGAACTGAAAACATTCAGCAGTTAGGAATGTATTGGTGAACTAGGTGAAAGTTTAAATAGCATAATGAAGGCAGAAATCAGATTGTAGTCTATTAAGATAAGGATGGGAGGGGAGATAAGAAATGGAAACTGTTCTTTCAAGAAGCTTGAAAGGGAGAAGAAAGGATGATTGAATGCGGGTAGAAAGGTGAGTGCTGGGTCCATACGGGGAATTTTCTTACCTGCATAAGCAAGTTGATGGATGAGAAGGCGGGTAAGGAGAGGAGAGATTAAAGTTACTAAATACAACTGATGAAGCCCAGAGAAAATGGAAGAAGGAAGGTGGGGTCAAGGGCATAGGAAAGGACTGGGCTTGAATTGAGAGAGAGGGGAATCTTCTTTTTTGAGATAGGAGGAAAGGCAGTGGGGAGAGATATAGATGGACATAAATTTATGGATTGCAGAAGGAAGAAAGCTGAAGCTGACGTTACCTGTTGATTTTTTTCCTTTGAAGTACGAGGCATATAATCTTTCTTAACACTGACTAAACTTATTGAACACTGTATTAGGCATAACACTGTGGTTAGAGGCCCAGACTTTGGTGTCAAACTGCCCGAGTCCAGATCTGGCTCTCATACTTTCAAGCTCTCTGAACTTAGGAAAGTCATTCGACTTCCCTGAAGCCCCAGTTCCCTTCTCTGTAAAGTAGGGATTTATGGTAGTACCTTGTGGATTAAATGTGTTAGTATGTACAAATCCCTTATAACAGTACCTGGGAACTAGAACCGAAGTGTAGGAGGATACATAAGACACAACCTTCAAGGAGCTGCCCTCAAAGACCTCTCAGTCAAGTAAGCCAGTTGTCTAATTCCCTTTGCTAGGGAATAATGCCATCCAAGAATCATCAACTACTCTCTGATATTTCCATTCAAACCAATAGGAAGATATTTCCAAATGATACTGCATCTTTATTTTTGGCAGCTGGCCAGTACAGGAATCGAACGCTGGACCTTGGTGTTATCTGCACCACATTCTAACCAACTGAGCTGACCAGCCAGTTCTGATGCTGCATCTTTTTAAAGAAAGTTTTTAAGACAGTGATAAAGCCAAAGAGAAATGAGTGTCTACACAGCTGGGAGGTAACAGCTCAAGCAAATCCCTAAAGCAGAGATATGAGCACAAACACCATAAACTTCTACCCTTGTGGAGAAAGGACAGATACGTGTCTACACAGCTGGGAGGTAACAGCTCAAGCAAATCCTTAAAGCAGAGATATGAGCACAAACACCATAAACTTCTACCCTTGTGGAGAAAGGACAGATACTCATGTGCTGACCCTGAGTGACAGTAAGGCATTGGCAGGGAAGCAGATTTTCTTATTAGTATCAGCTAGACAATTGTCATTTGAACTAGACCAGTGGTTCTCAAAGTGTGGTCTGGTCCCTACATCAGCATCACTTCAGTACTCATTAGAAATGCAAATTCTCAGGTGCCACTGAACCAAAAATTCTGGTGCTACCTAGAAGCAGCCTGGCCCCTGGAGGCAGCCAACCTAAAAGGTGGACAATAAATGTGTGTATAATGTACTTACAGGAAGGAGTCAAGATGAAGAGCACAAATCTGGCACCAAGTACACCATCTCTGGCCGTGCATACTAAGGTTACAAAAAGTGATGTTTTCTTCAACAGATCCAAGATTGTGCTGCAAGCCCTAGAATACAGCAGCCAGTCTTGTCTTGGACTTTACAGATTCTGAAAGGCCTTGACTTGCCCAAGATCAAAGTCAGTGGCAGGACTGGGATGGAAAATCAGGTCTTTTGCCAGTTCAGTTTTCTTAATTTCTCATAGCTGGTTACTAATTTGGTTTTCCAGCCATCTAGATACTAGTTGGAGGGTAGTTTGAAAAGAGGTCATGGGCCGGCCCGGTGGCGCACTGCTGTGGTGTGCCACTTGGGAAGCGCGGTGGCGCTCCTGCCGAGGGTTCGGATCCCACATACAGACCGGTTCCCGCTCACTGGCTGAGCGAGGCGCGGGAGCAACACCGAGGGCTGCGATCCCGTTGCCGGTCCTGGTCCGGTACGGGGGCGACACTGAGGGTTGCGATCCGTTGCCGGACATGGAAAAAGACAAAAAAAAAAAGAAAAGAGGTCATGAGTAGTTCAAGCACTGGAAAGCTGTATCTTCCATTTTAGATTGGTTCACTGACATGTTGCATTATAAATCAGTCTCCCGTGACTGATTTGTGTGACTCAATTCCCTAAAGCCCAATTATCACTGGATGAACTGAGAAAATTAAGTTTCTGAACTTATAAAGCTGAGGGTAAAAGCCTAGGTCACTGCTTCTCATGGTGCAGGCGGAATACAGAGGGCTCCCCCAAAGAGGCATGTTAGACATCACCTGTTTTATTGTTTAATCAACACACAACTCCCCCACACATTCTGAGATGCTGTCTCAGGGATGTGCTCTCCTTCCTGCCTCCTGGTTAAGAATCTTGGCAACAATGAGTCATTGCTACTGATTGGAAGGTGTTAGTGTGGAAAAATGATTGAGGACCACTGCTTATGATTGCCCCACAAGTTTTAGCTGTTCTCTGAGGTCAAACTTAGCACAGCACCAGCTTCTCCTTCTCTCATATCCAGATATGGTAGGTTTTGAATGCTTGCCTAAGGCTGGATGTTAGCTGTGGGGATTTTGCAAGGGCCAAATAAGTGGCACCCAACTTCTGTACCTAGGATCTTGAGAAATAAGACAAAAAGCAGAGAAAATATCACTTTTATTATCAATTGGTTAGAAGATATAGCTTTATGTGATAGCCTAAATGGGCTCCCTAATTCCATTATAAGTGAAAATGTGAGTAACAGAGCAGATACTCTCACCGAAGTTGATGCTTTCTACTAGTCATATGGAGAAGTATAAGGAGAACAAATTCCTCACATTCAGTCTATCAAACTTGGATAGAATGGTTCCACCCAACCTGGAAACATTGACCTATGGTAATCATCCACCCACCTGTTGTGGAGCAACAGACTAGGAGCATTAGGTTAATTAAGCTCACTGCAGAGGAAGAAAACATCAAGAGTGCAGATGAAGCATTCTACCTCCTCCCTGACACTGGAAGTAAGGGATTTTGAAGTGCTCCTGATACAAGAGGAAGACTGAGCTAGCAACAGGTACATAATGTACTTTGCTGGGAATGAGGAGGAAAGTTGGACTATCAGTAAGGAGGTTGTTTGAAACAATCAAGGCACAAGACTGTGATGATGTGGCTGCAGGAATGGAAACCGACCCATAAGAAAT